TGTGTCCATAACTAGTGTTCACCATCATCTCAGGTGTTAAACAACTCTTAATCATTATAATATAACAGTACAAGATTGAGAAACTCTCTCGAAAATAACAAACAAGAGTGAAACTCAAGAAACTTTCACGTTATATATCAATTATTTCAAATCAGCATATTTGTTTATATATCAATTATTTCAAATCAGCATATTTGTAATTTTTTGCAAAACATATCGTTAGTCAATTAAGCATATCTTTCTCTAGACAAACTCTTTTTAAGAATAGTTTTTCGTTTTGGAAACTAGATTCACATAGCTATCATTTGGCACTGATTTAGTTCAGTTTGGAGTTCATATGATATCTCTAAATTTCAGTTAAACGTTATATATGTGCAGCAGTTTTTCTGCAGAACATATCATCAGTAAATTGAGCATATCTTTCTCTAGAAAATCTATCTTTAGGAATGATTTGCTGTTTTGAAATCTAGATTCACATATCTTTCAATTGGTATTAGTTTGGTTCAAATTGGATTTCATTTGCTATTTCAAATTTCTAGTTAAACAGTATATATGTGCAATAGTTTTTTTGTAGAACATAACAAGCATGATTATTTGCACAAGAAATCATATTTAAACCTTCAATCATGTTTAAAACATACTGAAACATATATAAAACATATGACAATACTTAAACTTTGATAATCACTTACTGAAATTATCTCGAACATAAATCAAACTCCTGTGTTAATCTAATTAGGGTTTTTCAACCTAATTAACCAAATTCTTCAGTCTAAAGCATGAATTTTTAACATATTAAACATAAACATGAGTGCTAAACAACTTAGAAAAGGTATACATTCATTAAATCATATTTTTAACACTTAGGTATTACAAACCTAGGGGTTTCTCATCTTTAATCCACATGTAAACTCAATTAAATGTCAAGTTAGGGTTTAAACATGATTAGAACATGATTAACAAGTTAAAAATGAAATTTTGAAGAACCCTAATGATCCATGATTAACAAGTTAAAAATGAAATTTTGAAGAACCCTAATGATCATGATCATGTTTCTATTATAAACAGCAAGAAAAACATGTAGATCTAATGATCATGATCATGTTTCTATTATAAACAGCAAGAAAAACATGTAGATCTAACATTTGTTTAAGATCTGACAACAAAAATTTATTCTTTTTTCACATTAGATTAAGATCTAAGCATGTAAACACAATTTAAACTTCTAAACTAGTTATTTAACTATGGGGATGAGTTTGGATGTAAGTGATCTTGCCTTATTATCATGTGTAAGCCTTTGAAACAAATAGCAAGCAATCCACAAGCATAAACAACCCGTTCTTCCTCGCCATACGTCGATGATCTCGCTCTCGTGTCGGTGTTTTGCTTCATAAAGCTCTCCAAACTCATAAGAAAAAGATTTAGGGTTTTTGAGGGGAGAGGATGGTTGCTAGGGTTCATAGATATGATAAAAAAAAAGAATTTTCGTGAAAACGTGGGTATTTATAGAGGCAAACCCGAAACAAACCTGTTTGACCCGAACCAGGAAACCTAGTCTGACTAGGAAAACAACCTATCTTTCCTCTAGATGATATAGTGGATTGTGAGACTCAGGAGCAGGGTCATGTTCAGGAGTCTATTGCAGTGAATAGACCTAGAAGGGTGATTCGTCGGTCAACTAGGTATAATGATGTCATGGTTGCATATGCATTATCAGTGAAGGTTGTTGATGATATGGTTCCATTCATATTTAGGGAGGCAGAGTCTAGCCCCAATTCGATCAGGTAGAGGGAAGCTATGGAGGAGGAGATGCAGTCTCTTCAGAAGAACGATACTTGAAAACTTGCAAAGCTACCTAAGGGTAAGAAAGCTATTGGTTGTAAGTGGGTATACGCAAAGAAGGATGTATATTCTATTAGGGACATTAGGTACAAAGCCAGATTGTTTGCCAAAGGATATGCACAACTTGAGGGCGTTGATTATAACGATGTATTTTCACCCGTTGTGAAGCATTCATCGATTCAGATTTTATTGGTATTGGTGGCACAACTGGATTTAGATTTGGTCCAGATGGATGTTAAGACAGCTTTTCTGTACGGAGATTTAGATGAGAAGATCTACATGACACAATCCTTGGGATTCAAAGCTGCAGGAAAGGAAGATTTGTTTTGCAAGCTGAAGAAGTCTTTTTATGGTTTGAAGCAATCGTCACGACAGTGGTACAAGAGATTCGATAATTTTATGATTGGCCATGGGTACACGAGGAGCCCATATGACTCATGTGTTTACATGCACAAGCTACAAGATGATGAGCACATATATTTGCTTTTATGTGTTGACGATATGCTTATTGTTTCCATGAATTCTTCGGCTATTCGAAAGTTGAAAGAGAAGCTGTCATCCGAGTTTGAGATGAAGGATCTTGGAGAAGCAAAGAAGATATTGTGTATGAAGATCGAGAGAGACATGGTGAAAGGGAGATTGAAGCTTACACAGATGAGTTATTTACAGAAGATGTTGAAGAAATTCAGCTTTGATGGCAATACAAAAGCAGTTAGCACTCCATTAGCTCCCCACTTTAAGCTTTCAGCAAATATGTCATCTGTTTCTGTTGAAGACAGAGATTATATGTCGAAGGTTCCATATGCCAGTGCAGTGGGTAGCTTGATATATGCGATGGTGTGTACGAGACCAAATTTGTCACAGGCCGTGAGCATGATATCAAAGTATATGCACGATCCCGGGAAGGGTCATTGGAGACCGTAAAATGGATTCTACAGTATGTTAAAGGCACCGTGGATGTTGGATTGATTTTTCAGAAGAGCGAGAAGAATGTGGAGAATTGTATTGACTATGTGGATTCAGATTATGCGGGGGATTTGGACAAACACCGGTCTACTTCAGGATATGTGTTTACATTGGCAGGAGATGCTATGATGCACGGATACAGATACGGGACAGAGTACGATACGGACACGGATACGGGATACGACAAAATCCAAAAAATAGGATACATGGATACGACAAGAATTTTTAAAAAAATATTATTATATATAGAAAAATTTATAAAATTCAACTAACAATCTAAAATATAAATCTATCACAAAATAACAAGTTTGTAAACTAAAAGTACCTCAAGATGAAGTGGAAGCTGAGAGATTGAGAGAGAAGATTAGGGTTAGGGTTAGGGTTAAGGTTTTTTCTTATTTTCTTTCATTTGAGTCAGCTGAGGATCGAATCGAACGGGAGATTTGAAAAATAGGGATGAGTTTTTAATCGAAAGGTTCGGGTTGGATTTTAACAACCAAACCCGTAACCCGAATGAATCGGCCTTCGGCGAATCCGAGTCGTGTCCGAGCTCCTTTGACCGTGTCTGAGCCTAATTTGTCTATTGACCCGTGTCGTATACGGATTGACCGTGTCCGACACGTGTCGTGCACGTGTCGTGCACGTGTCGTGAAGAATTCGTGTCCGATTCGATTCGGACACGGATTCGTAGCCTCCGGGGGCGAATCCATGCTTTAGAGTGGAGATGTACACTTCAGTCTACTGTGGCTCTCTCTACTACAGAGGCGGAGTATATGACAGTGACTGAAACTGTTAAGGAGACTTTGTGGTGCGTGGATTGTTAGAGGACTTGGGGATTGCACAGGAGACCGTTCGAGTATATTGTGATAGCATGTCGGCTATCTATTTGGCGAAGAACCGAGTTTATCATGCACGCAAGAAGCACATTGATATCAGATTCCACTTTGTTCGTGACGTATTGGATGATGAAGACATCATTTTGGAGAAGATCCACACGAAGGACAACCCTGCGGATATGTTGACCAAAGTTGTTTCAAGTGTGAAATTTGGTCATTGTTTGAAGTTATTGAATATTTTTCAGTGTTGAGGGTCTTTGGAGGCCATTTTGGTGAATTACGTTCGGCTTGATTCCTTGGACAAGAGGATACGTAAGCAGTTATGTTTGATGTAGCTGGTTGGATTTGTTGATTTTGATGGGAGGAGATTGTTTGAGCTCTCGTTTGGGTTCCCGACTTGTTGTGGATTGAGTCCGTTGTCGTGGGTTGTTTTCACTTCGTCCTGGACGCAATAAGTGAGACATTTGGATGGTTTTGTGTCGGCTCAGTTTGGTAGAAACATTCGCCGAAGTGGAAATTAATGAAATGACGAGCACAGCGACGAAGACCGCATGAACATGTTTGGGTGCTGTGCGGTCGACCGCGTGTGGCGCGGCGGTCGACCGCCAACGTACACGAGGATGAGTTCTGTTCAGTATCAGGTTGCACTCGACCGCGCTTGGTGCAACGGTCGACCGCCAAAGGTGCACGAAGATGAGTTCTGTTCAGTATCAGGTCGCAGTCGACTGCTAAAAGTCCAGAGACTCAGGAAAGTTTCTGTCGTTTTCGCGGTCGACCGCGCATGGCGTGACGGTCGACCGCGAGTCGGGTCTAAGCTGGGTATTGGTTGCGAGTCGGGTATAAGCTGGGTATTGGTTTTCAACCCGTTTCGTTTCTGAGTTGATATATAAGTCTAATCCTAATTAATTAGGGTTAAATAAGGACGTTTTGAGCAGTCTTTGAGAGGGGATTGCTGCATCCAAGTGTGGGAGATTTGTGAGAGATCTAGAGGCTTAGTTTTAGAGTTTATTTTGTGAAATTTGTAACACTATTTGTATTCTCTTGATTTCTAATAGTAAGAACTATCCCCTCCTTGCCTCGTGGACGTAGGCAACTTACCGAACCACGTAAAATTCGTTTGTCTTGCTGTGATATTGTGTTTGGCTTATTTGATTGTGATTTATCTCGTTCTTGTTCGTGTGGTTTCGAGCTCCGCTGCGCACAGCAAAGGCTTCAAAAACAATGATAATCTTATGAAGAGTTACAGTATGGTAATGCATTCTTTACTATACCACTACTTGTGCATCATACAGCATCGTACATCCTTAAATTCTTTTGTAAATTTTGCTGATCCCGCCTCCTTTCGATCAAATACAGAGAAAACACATCCACGGAGGTGTACGGTCTTTCCCTTCCATCCTTGGGGCCCATTGGAAAAGAACAGAGAAGGAGTCATGCTCTGGGTTCCACAAGACATTGACGAGCTCATTAGCTCCGCTCTACAGAAGCTCAAATGCTCTGGCACATTCATTCTTTCAGAAGATGGAGGAAGGATACTTGACGCAGGCATGATATCTGACAATGATAAACTTTATTTGGTTGCAGACCAAGATAGAAACACAACATAGCATGAATATATGCAAGTGATTCAGATTGATTTTTCCATATCATTGATCTCACAATACTTGTACAAGTATATACGTATGCCTTTGTTTTGAAAAGTCTGCGCATGCCATTGTAAGCTTGTAACTCATAATTAGTGGAAAGGAAATCAGAGGTATTCTTAGGGAAAATATATGCAAGCTTATCAAAGCTTAATGGATGCCCATGTTTCATTTCAACAACCTTTTATTGTTATCCTTCCTCGAACTGCTACAAAGTCTCATTTTGATGTATTTAGCTTATTCATGAAACAGAGGATCATTGGGAAGGTGAATCTCTATTTGTCTACAATCTCATTGACATTGTATAAACCTGATGATGGATTCAATCAAAAGTAGTTCATAGATAGCATCGGACATAATTTGATACTTTCGAGACACAAAAACCCTCCAAATAGTGTCTACTTCATTTCCCAAGAAATAACGCATAGGTCCAAGATTCTTTGTGAAATTTTGATGCAGGAACAATCTCAAAGCACGTAACAGCTACATCTTCTACACAAACAACTAGCCTGATCTTCTTTTTGTATGATTCAAAAGAAAGAAGAGTTATCCTTATCTGCATAGTGCGGGACAAACTCCAGTTCGATGACACAAATAAAAACTATAATTCCCAACAACCTAGGGAGCTGACCCAGTTTCAGATATTAGTTTTCACACGATGCCACAAGATCCTCGGAAGGCCACTTATGGATCTTGCTAGTAGAGTCCTACTTTCATTGAAGGCTGTGATTTCAGATCTTTGTGCGGGTATGCAGTACACGGTTAGACAAGCAAAACATCGTTTAGCAGTTACGCCATGAAAATTAACTTCTAAATTGTTAGCAAGCACTTAAAAAAAGGAATTGAATTACCATGAAATGAGTACTCCGACTCCCTACAAAATTGTCCAGAGCCACATTCACAAAACTAGCAGATGCAGCATCCAACCTTGTTACTTTCAACCTACAATATAGAAATTTTAGTTTTGCTTACTGGAGTCTTCAGTATAGTGCATGCACTAATAAATTTGATAAGGTTCTTATCATAAAGCTCTTGCTAGTTTCCTATATTTCTTCACCCAAAGAAATCTCATATTACAGCTGCAGCTAGAATTATTAGTAAACTCATAAAACCAAACAGAAATAAGCGCTCCCTCAAACAAAACCACTACCGTACAACATACATCTCAGATCTCCTTAGCAACATATACTAATTGCTGCTGCTTCTCACCAAACAGATGCATGCATCCAAGCATGCAAATGCACAGTGCTCCCTTTCCATCTTCAGTACCCCACATGCAAGAAACGAGCAAGCATCGTGATATTAGTTCCACAAAGGATGGATGAGCAAAATTCAATCTACTTAAGATCAGCTTAAATATTCTGGTACCTTCATTCTTTCAGAGGAAAGAGGCAGGATCCTTGATGCGGACATGAATCCGAACAATCTGAAACTTGGTCACAGATCAAGATAAAGGTCTTCATTTTTATTAACATCTGTCAAGAAGTACGTGCACATTGTAAGAAGTACATGCATATTAAGTACATGCTCCCACACTATTCTACGTGTTGAGACCAAGACCTATATTCCATGGCTCCAGCCATAAGATTATCTCCTTAGTCTAAAGAAAATGCTCCATCGCAGTACCTGCAAGAGATTATCCAAAGGGACAAGAGTTAGAAAACATACATGCGATTTTAATCGAACAGATGGTTCATACAAAACAATCAGGTTCCCAGATGAAGACTTGCACCACCATTTATCACTACCATGACATTTTCTAACAGAGAGAATAATTTTGGTATTAGTATCAACTAAAGAAAAAAAAAAACCCAAAACTTAAACAAATTGCACCCCTAAATCTGAGCCAATAGACAATAACCCATTAATTAAGTCATTTGAAAATTATAGGCCCAAGCCCAAGCACACAAAAAAACCCAAAACTTTTACCCATAATCCATTATCAAAACGTGAAAACACTATCAGGTTTGACCTTCGATATTCTCAGAAACTAAAGAACGTGCACCATCTCGGATTCTCAGGTTTGGCCTTCGATATTCTCAGAAACTAAAGAATGTGCACCATCTCGGATTCTCAGGTGACTGGTCAGTGATTCAATATATTATATACAATTATAGTTATACATATACATATATGCTTGCCTAAAGATTTGATAAGATGAATAATGAAGCTTTGATAAATTATGATGTTCACAAACGAATGCAAATACCTGAAATACTTGTCCCTCAGTACCTGTGATTCTCTGAATTAGACAAAAATCTGAACAAAAAAATGAATCAGAAAATAAATGAACTCTAGAAGGATAAAAAAGGCCGGTCTTATTATTTTGCAATTCAAAACATAAAATAGTAATTTTCTAGTTCCTAATTAGTTAGAGTAAATAGATTATATTTTGATGTCGATTATCTTGTTAATTTTTTTAGTTATGGATAAATTTGTGAAAACGGCGACGGAATTGAGGAAAAGAATTGAGGAAAACGTGAAAAATAAGCAAGACAGACTCCATCACACCCTAGTGTGGTGTCTGCCACACCCAGGTGACAGGGTATGGTAGAATCTGCCCTGTTTACCGTGGGTGTGGTGTCTGCCACACCCTGGTATGACAGAATATATCCTATTTGTCATGGGTGTAGTGTGTGCCACACCAGGGTGTGACAGACTTGTTTTTAGAATCTTAATCTGTTTGGGATTGTGCTTTGTTATAAATAGAGCCACGTTTTTAGGGTTTTTTTATCGATTGATTGGGTAGCTTGAATGTGATTTTGAGCACAGAAAAGAGAGATCTTTCTGAGCAATTTGTTTGAGGATTTAGTTTGAGAGATTTGAGAGATTTTTTTGAGAGGTTAGTTGGGTGATCATGTAATCTCTACTTTGTACTCTCTTTATCTATAGTGAAAACCCATCCCTTTTTGCCCCGTGAACGTAGGCAATTTGCTGAACCACGTTAAACTTTTTGTGTTTGAGTTGGTGCCGTTATTTTGGATTGTTTTGGCTTTCTTTCTCAGCATTTGTGTTTATTCCGCCGTGCACAACAAGTGGTATCAGAGCTCAGGTTACGCTTAGGCTATTTGGAGGAGTAGATCACTTTCGAAGTTTGGCTAGGGCTTCGTTTGGAGTTAAAAGTGGGATCTTTTTGGTAAAAATTCTAACTTTTCTCAGTTTGGGATATATTCTTCGTTTGTTCTGATTTGGTTGTTGGTGCTTTGAGGAATTATGGTCGGGAAAGAAGGAGTTATGGAGGGTACTTTAGGTGTGAAGACCGTCCAAAGTTTGAATATTCACTCTATGAAGATAGACGTGGAGAAGTTTAATGGCACTAACAATTTTGGACTTTTACGATGTGAAGTCTTAGATGCGCTCAACGCGAAAAATTTGAAAGATACTTTGGAATTGAATGGAAAGCCAGATGATATTGATGAGAAGGTTTGGAAGAAGATGAATCGAACGACGTGTGGTGTGATTAGTCATGTTTGACTCAAGATTTAAAATATGATATGATCAATGAGACTGCAACTAAGAACATTTGGGAGATCCTTGAGAATAAGTATTTGACCAAGAGTATGGAGAATCACTTGCATTTGAAGAGGAGGCTTTATCACTTCCAATTGAAGAAAGGAACCTCCATTGGTGATCACATAAACCACTACATGAAGCTTCTTGCGGATTTGGAGAATGTAGATGTTATGATTGAAGATGAGGATAATACATTGTTGTTGTTGAGTTCCTTCCCTGACGTTGAATATGAGACTTTCGTCCTTACTCTTATCAATGAGAATGTATCTCTTTCGTATAGTGAGGTCACCACTACACTTGTGAACTATTAGCTTCGAATAAAAGATAAGGAATCTATAAGTGACACAGCAGCGGAGGCGTTGGTCGCAAGAGGGAAGAATCCAAACTGAAAGAATTAAAAGTCACAGTCTAGAATAGGGCATCCGACAGTTAGAAAAAATCAGTGTGCTTGGTACAAGGAGACTGGTTATTGGAAGAAAGATTGTCTAAAGCTTAACGAATGGATGAAGAATAAGTAGAAGGGAAAAGGGCAACCATCATCAGAATCAAACATCGTTATATCGAATGGTAATATTTCTGATACTTCTATTTATTCGCTTTCTATCAGTCCTACATGTAGTTATTCGGAGGAATCCGAGTGGTTATTGGATAGTGGTGCGACCTAACATGTATTCCCTAGAAAGGAATGGTTCTTCAGTTTTGAGAAGCTGGATAGTGGTATGGTGTATATGGATGACAACCGTACATGTCAGATCCTTAGGAGAGGGTCTGAAGGTTCGTGTTGAGAACATGGTTCTCGAGATCGTGGAAGACTCTTTGATTGTGATAAAGGGTGTCCGGAGGAATAACCTGTACTATTTGATTGAAAGTTCGGTGACAGGTAGAGAGCTAGCGACTTCTGTTGATTCGACTAGACTGCGACATTTGAAGCTTAGTTATTCCAGTATTGATTTGGAGATGGGTGCACAGACTTGCAATTTGAAGTCTAGTGAATACTTTGATATGAGCAAGAAGACCAAGGTGAAGTTTGACACCTCTATTCACCGCACTAAGGGTCTTTTAAGTGGAGTTCACACGGATGTTTGGGGGCCTTCCAAGGAGGCATCATTAGGAGGTAATAGATGTTTGGTTTCCTTTATTGGTGACTGTTCTAGGCGTGTTTGGGTTGTAACTAAATCCCCTTTGGATAAAGTCCTAGTAGTATCCAACAGATTGAAGAAGTGTGAGATTGACAGAAAGGTGAAGATACTTTATTCTGATTTTGGTAGGAGGTACAAGAAGAACCTGTTTTTGCATTCGAGCTGAGCTCACAGCATTTTGAGACACTTCGGTGGAAAGGAAATCTTAGGGCAACAAGATGAGATGGCAGATTTGGTGAGCTATTCCTTGCTGGAGGAGGACTAACGTTTGATGTCGAACATTGATTCTGGTGTTGAGGCTTTGATATATTTGGGTCATCTTGGTTATAGATTGTCGACTGCTGCTATTGGAGATAAAACTCCATTGGATGTTTGGTCAGGTAGTGTCACTTCGCTTGAGGCTTCAATGAGGGAGCTAATTGACTCTCAGCAGGTGGAGAGTTTTGGACATATCTTAGATGTATCGTAGTGGGTGGAGAGTGATGCTACTCCACATTGGGTGGAGATTACTCCACATACTCCAGATCATTCTGCATCGTATGGGATTCCAGCTGAGGTAAAACAGTTAGGGGATCATTTGAATTTGTGTGCAGATGATGAGTTGGTTGGTTCGAATGCAGCTTGTGGATATGATTTGGATACGATCATTGGTTCACCTTAGGTGGAGGTGTTTGATTTCTTTTACTTTAGGGCCATTGGGAGTGTCATCAGTTGCAGATTCGTTAGTGATGTTGGTGAAGAATTGCAAACTTTTCTATTTGATTAAGGGCCTTTGGAGGCCGTTTGATAAACTACGGGTGGCTTGATCTCTTGAGAGAGAGGGTACGGAGGCAGTCAATTTGATGCAACCGGTTTGATGAGTTAATACCGACATTTGGAGAGTGTTCACATTCTCATTTGGGTCTCGACTTGTTGTGGATTGAGTCCGTTGTCGTGATTTTGTTCCACTTCGTACTGGATGCAACAAGTGACACGTTTGATTTGGTTGGTGTCGGCTTAGTTTTGGAAAAACTTCGTCGAGGTGGATAATTGTGAAAACGGCAAAGGAATTGAGGAAAAGAATTGAGAAAAACATAAAAAATAAGCAAGACAGACTCCACCACATCCTGGTGTGGTGTCTGCCACACCCAGGTGACAGGGTGTGATAGAATCTGTCCTGTTTATCATAGGTGTGGTGTCTGTCATACACTGGTGTGACAGAATCTGTCCTGTTTGTCATGGGTGTGGTGTGTGCCACACTAGGGTGTGGCAGACTTGTTTTTAGAATCCTAATTTATTTGGGATTGCGTTTTGTTATAAATAGAGCCATATTTTTTAGGGTTTTCTATTGATTGATTGGGTAGCTTTAAGGTTATTTTGAGCATAGAAAAGAGAGATCTTTCTGAGCAATTTGTTTGAGGGTTTAGTTTGAGAGATTTGAGAGATTTGTTTGAGAGGTTAGTTGAGTGATCTTGTAATTTCTACTTTGTACTCTCTTTCTCTATAGTGGAAACCCATCCCTTTTTCTCCTAGATGTAGGCAATTTGCCGAACCACGTTAAACTTTTTGTGTTTGAGTTGGTACAATTATTTTAGATTGTTTTGGCTTTCTCTCTCAGCGTTTGTGTTTGATCCGCCATGCACAACAAAATTTCTCCAGAGAAAGTTTCTAATGGAGCGAGAGCAACCATCAACTACTCCAATTTCAAATAATTTTGAGAATTTACAATATAGTCCAAAGCGAAGAAACGAAGGAAACTTGAAAAATCTTCCAATTGATCCACTTCGATTGAGTCTTTTAGAGTATCATCCAAATGACCGAGATGATATTTGACGAGCTTAATTACAAGAGGGTCCTTATCAACCACTTCAACATAAATTTCCAAAAAAAAAAAAAAAAAAAACAAAAAAAAAAAAAAAAAAAACCAGAGCGAGAATCGATTTGCATTGTTTCCATCCTGGTTTGTTTAATGAATTTGAAAATTGGCTTTAGTATAG